CCAGTCAGATATCTTTAACATTGGCAAAGTTATGTTGTTTCAAAGTCCACAATTTATTTTGCTTTACAACTCCAAAATTACTTAGTGTTGAGAACTATGCCTACAAAGTTACTTAGTGAGGAAAGGGTTAAACTTAAAATATTTTCTGGAAAATAGTTTTTAGAGTTATAATTTAAATGGATCAGACTTTGATCCTGATATGTATTAAAAAATAGGGTGTTTGCTTTTTCCCTTTGACCGCTCCGGTGGCCTAGTGGTTAGAGTGTCTGCCTCGGATGCAGGAGGTCGTGGGTTTGATCCCCGGTCAAGTCATACTAAAGACTTACAAAAATGCTACTAACAGATACCTCACTCGATGCTCAGCATTAAGAGGATAGTGTTAGGACTGGTTGTTCTGGTGTCAGGATAATGTGACTGGGTTGGACATTAGGGCTGTCATTGGGTACCCGGGTACCCGACCGTATAGAAAAACCCTGGTTGTGTAACGTAAATGCGGTTACCCATAAAGAAAAAACAAAAAAAAACACGCCACACTCACCAACCATTTCAAACAGGTGTGACAGCTATGGCTATAATTAGAAACCAGATCTCTGCTTAATATAAATAAACAATACATCAGTCAGTCTGTTTGGATTAATAAAATTCCTTGGCGTTGTGCAACCAGACAAGCCGTTATCACTGAGGCATTATATACCAAGGTTAAAACATTTGTTCTACGGGTAATAAACCTCTTTGTAGATGATAACTATTGAATGTGGGTGCTAAATGATCGGTACATTGCATGCTCTTTTAATGAAATCCAGATGGATACCTTTGATTTCCGAACAAACATGTCAAAGAAATCCCACAATTTATATTATGAATAATCATCACCTAGATACTTTGAAATCTTTGTAATGCCTCAAAGTAATCTTTGCTCGTTTTTCTAGTCGACTAGCTCTATGAATTTCGAAAGTTAGCCCTCATACATATACCGATATTTCTATTTTTGATACTACTACGTTTTTACCATAACTATTTTAAGAATTATAATTCCAAAATAATAACACTTATGCGACTGCATGGTCATGTGGTATAACTGGGGCACACATGCATGGGTAATTCAGATCTGCAGTCAAAAGCAGATGAATAAACGTGGTCTGTTCTAACAAGGACTTATACTTTAAAAAATGCAAGTGTTCTAAAGCTTTTAACGCGGCTGATCACAGTGATCCTTAAAAGTTGGATTATACCTATCATCTGTGTGCAAAGGTCATTCTAAATAAATTTATTAATTAACAGCATGCTGTCAGACAATTCGCAGCTACGTCGGTGTGGATGAATCAGACTGAGTAGTACATGATTAGCCTCTATTGCCATAAAAGAAATATTAAAGAAATAGTGATAACAATTAGTTGGTCTACGGTTGTACATGTCATTCATATGCTAACGGGTACTCGTTAAAATTTTCAACGGGTTGGTTTTTCGTGATTTTTGACAGCCCTATTGGACATCATTATATATGTCTGTGGCATGTTGCCCCAGTGCTAGATATCACTATAAACTGCCACACTGCAGACATTGTAGTGATATGACTGAAAAATTGTTAAAGCTACGTTAAAAATCATAATCACATCACATCACATTTTCTTCTTTCTATCCTTTTGAAAGTTATGGACCATGAGTTTATGCATGTGACTCAAAAATAGGATTTTAATGTGGTTTCTGTGGGACAAGCTAGTGGGATGATTTTTTTTTACATAAATTTTTAATAAGTCATAAATTATGGAAGTATGTCCTGTCAGATAAGGGATTTGGAATGAGACTTATGGGTTATGTCCTGGGGATGAACTGTTTTGGCCCCTGGATCACACTTTAGGAGCTAATTAATTACACAATCTATGCTAACCCTTACAGATTTGATAACTTTGAACATTTTTTGACCTTTTATTCCAGATACTTTGTTCCCTATGGAATACTTTCTCAAACAGAGCCATATAATACAATGTACACTGAACTACTCTGGGTCACATTTATATTGCATTGGATTGGTTCCTTAGTCGTGACTTGTCCATTCAGCTTTTGTGTATCGTTTTTCAATGTGCATGCTTGATCATAAATATTATGACACACATTAAGAGTTAGCAAACTTCAAATGTTCTTATGCTTTTCAAAACCAATTACTTTCTGACAATAGCACAGAGTAGAATAGAAGTGGTCAAACTTGGGCCTCCAAAACATTTTCAAAACTTTGTACAAATAAGAATGACCATCTATTACATCATAACAATAAGGTGATTCATTAATATTGCAAGGTATGTGACTGACCATAACATCAGAGTGAAATATATGAAATGTGTGTGTCTCCAGATGTATCTTGTATGTAATGACTGCTAGTTTCTCTTGGGAGAATTGAGAGTTTCTGGTGAACAAGCAAAGATGAGTTGGACTATACATATCAAGCCATCAAAACACTTGGTAACAACAATCCCCCTCCCAATCAAACCAACAAGCATTGATAAGGTAGCAAGACATCATGACACTGATGTTATTGACGTTCTTTGGGGTATAATACTCTTCTTTTGTTTCGGCCACTGTGTGGAAATAAGTAAAAACAATTTACTGTCAGCATATGTTAACTGTTAATTAATTTGCACTAAATAATTTGTTTTGGTTCTAGCTTCCTTTTGATCCTTCACTGAAGAAAAAGAAGAAGAAGAAAAAGGCCACATTTGACCTTGATGCATTAGAGGCAGTAGATGGGGAACCTTCACCATCAGAACCGGATGCAGGAAAAGCAAGTGACAACACCATGGAAAAATACAGTAAAAAATCAGATGAAAAGGTTAATGATGAACCAGAACCAGACACGGAAAAAGAAAGACAAGATGAAGGTATATAATGTATTTGCAGGAATTTGCATTGCCATTTTTGCAACTCTACAGCTTACTTTCCCCTTGCCCCTTCTCTGCCTGGCAGAAACCTTTTTTTGGCTCTTTCTTGATGAGTAGTTATCCACAAAGAAACATTATTTTTGACTGCCATGTGGTTCAGATATGTTTGTCAAAAGTCATTTTATGTTTGAAATGCCTTGGGTTAATTCTCATTAGTGCAGTTTAAGATATTCTGCTTAGAAATTCCTTGTATACATAAAGCTTATTAGAAGAACTGGAATCTAGCAGGAAATGTTAAAACTGAAACAAACACTGAATCAAGAAGTGAAATGTGATTATTATTCTTACATTTTCCTTATGTCAGTTCATTATTACACATTCTCATTGTTTTATCTCAGCATCGGAGACAACAAGGTGCTGGGAAAATAATTTTACCAAATAGAGACAAAATGAGGTGATGAATAATTATGACATGAGAAAATCAATCATTAATTCTGTTGACCTGTGGGTTACATATTTCCCTGTAGTCTTGGTAATGAATTTAGGCTGGCCAGGACTGTATCATGTGGCAACTAAGTTCAGACTTTGCCTTATTGATCAGTGTCATTGGCATCTTTGATGCCTGAGATTTAGTCTACAGCACTTGTTATTTTTTATAAAAACCCTGGTTTCAGTTTTTAGGAGGCAGCAATTTTCGAGTTTTCATTGTAAAACCCAAGTAGAACTCTGGTATTATGTACAACCTTTGTCTATTGCAGACTTTTCATTAGATTTTTCGGGCATGAGAAAGAAGAAGAAGAAAAAGAAGCCATTTGATTTAGAAGAAATGAAAGAGGCTTTGCCAGTGAGTATTTTTCTCAATGTGTGTGTGCATGTTGTGTTTCTGTTGAGTAAGATGTTTCACCAAAAGAACCATATGGAATATGACCATAAACCATCAATGTAATTGGGTGCCTTTCATATTCTTTAGACATCTTTGAAGTTTGTATGGTAAAAGAATGTGCTAGAGTAACTGCTTATTTAATCTGCCATAAATTAAACTGGACATATCCCCACTTTTTCTTTGTCAAAATTGCATTACTGTAGACTCCTGGAAAATGAAGTTATAATGACCATTCGTTTTATTGTTATGGAATTCTTACACATTTCATAAAATATTTGGACATAAGACATTTCATTTTGTTGAATGAATTCCACATTCATTTTAGTGCTTGCTTAAGGATGAATTTCACTAAAATGGATGTGGAATTCATTCAAAATAAAAGTGATTGGGCACATATCCAATGGATAGATCAAAGAACTGATGAACATAAAAATAAAGCTTGAAGGCATATAAAAGGATGGAAGGACAAACATATGGGTAAACATTAATGTATGGGCACTTATATGGACAAACTGACAATTGGATTTTGAAAGGGTAAATGGGCAGAAAAATACAGGCAAGTCAGTGTCATTTTAGGCAGATAATAGAGTTGTCCATTGTATCATTGGACAGAAGAAACAGTGGTCTTTCCAGACATTTTACATTGTTTTGATGTTCAGACAATATAGAGACCTAAGTCCATAGGTGACAAAGAACATGCAAATTTAAATTTGATGGAAGAGTTTACAACTAATTCTCAGCTCAATCATTCATTTCAGAATGAGGGAAACCTGATGATGCCTAATGTTTTTTAAAAAGTTCATTCATGGACACATTATATCAGGAATACAGTACTAAGGTCCTGTTAATGTAATATTCCAACTATTAGTTGCCTCTTCCATTTAAATCCCACCGCCACCACCTCAAGGCATCTCACGTACACACCAGAATGGTTTTACAGCATTGACTTTTTTTTTTTAATGTAATTAATATAAGTTTTTTAAGTATGTGATAGGCTATTCATAGAGGCCAGCATATTTGTTAGAAGAACAACCTAGGGAAAACTTGTGTTTTCACTGGCATAGTGCATGAATAGCATAAAACACATAGACCTTATTTATTAATTTGTCTTAACCTAATTATGTTTAAATACTTTTACTGTTTTACTGTTTTGTTTTTCTTCCGTTTTTTTTTTTTTTTTTGTTGCTTTAAAATTTTAAACTTTTATGTTAACATACTGTTGTTTTTATGATTCTTGCAATATGGACTGCTCCGGTGGCTTAGTGGTTAGAGTGTCTGCCTCGGATGTGTGAGGTCAAGGGTTTGCGCCCTGGCTGGGTCATACCAAAGACTCATAAAAATGGTGCTAACAGCTGTCTTGCTTAGTCTCAGCATTAAGAGGTTAGTGTAATTTTCAAGCAGGATTTTGATTAGTTTTATGATATTGGGGTCAATGGTCAGTTTGATGACATTGGGGATAACTGAGAGAGCTTGATGAATTATGGCTATGTATGTACAGAAATTATGTGGAACTTTTTTTATATATATAATTTTTTCTAGGACATGACTGATGCAAAAGAAAATGAAGAAATTCCCCAGGAAGCTGAGGAGAGCATTGGTACACCAGCTGATGACATAGACTTAGATCTTCCAATGAAGAAGAAAAAGAAAAAGAAAAAGGCTGTAGATATAGATGAACTTGTTGGTGAAGAAGAAAAGGCAGCAGAAGATGGTGAGGCAAAGTTATCATATTCCAAAATGTATTGCTTGTGGCAACAGTCTGATACACTAGGGTATTCAGTCTTGTACTCTGATGCACAAGGGTACTCAGTCTTGTATCTGATACACTAGGGTATTCAGTATTCTACTCAGATACACAAGGGTATTCATTCTACTACTCTGATATACTAGTGTATTCAGTCATGTATTCTGATACACAAGGGTATTTATTTTCAACTCTGATATACTAGGGTATTCAGTCTTGTACTATGATACACAAGGGTATTCAGTCTTGTACTATGATACACAAGGGTATTCAGTCTTCTACTCGTATACACTAGGGTATTCAATCTTCTACTCTGATACACAAGGGTATTCATTTTCAACTCTGATTTACTAGGGTATTCAGTCTTGTACTATGATACACAAGGGTACTCAGTCTTGTATCTGATACTAGGGTATTCTGTCTTCTATACCCTGATACACTATGGTATTCAGTCTTGTACTATGATACACTATGGTATTCAGTCTTGTATTTAGATATCCTATGGTTTTTAGCTTTGTATATGATATACTTGTTTCCTGTCTTGTACTCTGATATATTAGTTTCCTGTCTTGGACCCTGATATACTGGATTCCAGTCTGGGACCATGATTTACTAGTTTCCAGTCTTGTACCCTAATACACTAGGTTTACAGTTTGTAAACCAGTACGATCTACTTTTACCATTTCAGCTTTATTTGGGACTATATTTTATGCACAACAAATGAAAGGTGCACCATCTGTCAGTATGAACAAAATTATTCATTCTTCTATCTATCTGAATAATGCCCATTGAAATAAAAACTGTGATAAAAAGAATCTCAAATGGGTAACAATTTAATATTAAATTTATGAAACTTGTTAAATAATGTCCGCTTTTGCTTGCCAAGGCTTGCACAAAAGCTGGACAATATTCAACTTACTTCAATAATTCAATATTAAATCATTACCCATTTGAGATCCTCTATGTATAACTATGTATACTTGCTTATAAGTTAATTTGACTAAGTCAGACCCACAACACCCCATTTTAGTGCTGCAAAAAGAAAATTTCTCTGTGACACTTCTTTGAGGGGGGGTTTTGTGTGCAAGTTTAATCTCTCTGCAAGGGGTGACATATCAGCATTGAGTTCAAGTTGCACTTGGGGATAAATAAACTAGTCAGACTGGATAGATAGATAGGACTAATAAAGACTAAACCAATTATGATAAATAAATTTGTATTATTGAGCTGAGCAGTGCCAAGTCTTTGAATCGAGCTTTAGCATTTCTTGCTGGAGCATGTAAAGCTGAGTAATTCTGTAGTTTCCTCCTAGTGATTGCACCTGTCAAGTGTCCAGGAAAATGATCAGGTGATCTGTTTGCTATGTCTGGGTCTCCTGATGCTTCATATTCTTTGAGACGAGCCTGACATTTTTCATCCAAACAGGGTGTATAGATTTGACGACGACCATGAGGTACAGACTGAGTGGGTATCTTGAACATAGCTTTCTGGAAGCGGTGGTAGGATTCCTTGATTGAGATAAAGTGGAATGCTCTGTGTTGCCCCTGAACCACTTGTTTGCATAAGATAATGACTGGCTTTGACAATCCCCTTGTCACAGTACCAATAGTCGGGGCAAGATGCTGATCAGTTCAAGCTCACCCTGTTGTCAAGCCAAATGCTGTAGCTAGCCACTAATTAAAAGTGGCAAAAACACCCCTGGAAGCATGAGATGAGTGAGGACAGTACTGCCGTTGAAGTCATATAAACTAGATCAAAATACTCCAGAGGCATTTACAACAATAGTATTTGAAACAGTGCTGTGCAGCATCAAATCAGGCAAAGCAATAGGATATAACATTCTCCCTGAGTTCCTGAAGCATCTTGACCTGAAGGCAAAAGAATGACTTGCTGCTTTTTACATCCAGGTTGTCAAGGAAAAGTGCATGCTGACATTGTGACATCAGGCAAAGATCCCAACAATGCAGCGAGTTTATCAGCTGATCTTGCTTTCAGTCTGTTTTAATGTACTGGAGCGCCTGATTCTCCAAAGAATTGGTCCTGACTTGGAGAATATCATAACATAAATAACTATTGAGCAGGCAGGCGTCAGGCATGGCCGTAGCGCTTGAATAAAGTCCTTGCCCTGACTACATTTGTTGAAAATGTTTTCCAGAGGAACCTTAAAACTGGAGTTGTGTTTCTAGCTCTAACAGCAGCATATGACTTGGTCCAGGCTGCTGTTACAAATTTCCACAGTATTGCCATGCTTGATAGTTGAGACTATTCAACAGTTCCTCTGTAACAGGCGTTTCAGAGTGCATATCAGAGAGAACTGCAACTTACGGAGGCAACAGACTAATGGACTACTACAAGGGTCTGTTCTTTTGCCAAGTTTGCTCAATGTTTATATTAATGACCTACCTGTAACAGAGTTGCACAAGTTTATGTATGCTGATGACATTGTTCTCTGGATCCAAAGTCGCTCATTTGCCGAGCTTGAGGGGGTACTGAATAATCTGGAGGATATAATGAACTTCAAGAAATGGCATCTATAGCCAAACACAACAAATACAGTCTCCATTGTTTCATACCATAATGCAACTGTGAGTGTTGCATCTTCCTCGGCAGGCAGCAATAAACCATGATCTGGTAAGAACATAACTTTGTGTGACTGAACAGATCACTGACATTCTACAATCATCTGATGAAAACTAGCAAAACTTAGCAATTGAAACAACCTATACTGCAAATTGGCTGGCTCACCCTGGCGTGCTAGTGCTTTAAATGTTCAAGACATCAGCACTGGCCCTCTGTTATTTGACAGCTGAGTATTGCACTCCTTTCTTAGCTGGATCATCCCATTTTAAGCTAATTGATGTCAAGCTCAACACAACAATGCGCTTAATCTCTGGAACACTATGTCCTACTCCTTTACCATGGCTGCCAGTACTTAGCAATATTCATCTTCCTCATCAACATCGCCAGGAAGCAACCACAAAAGTGTTGGCTAAGGTGTGTGCCAGTGAAAAACTTTTACAATACATGGACATCATCGAGCAGTCCACTTGACTGAGATGCCAAATCTGGTTAGGTCCAATGCTGGAGGATATGACAGCTATTTCAGCATTGAAGCATTGAGTGGTCTTCTACAGATGTTGTAAACCTTTCACTCATAGCTGAATCATCTGTCTGCCCTCCTGGCTTCAACCTCCCATGTGATCTGTAGACCATACTGAACTGCTTTTTGACAGGACATAGTTGTTGTACAGTTAACCTTGTCCACTGGACCCAGGCCACTGACTCTTTCTGTTGCTGTGGAGCTTTTCAGACCATGTCACACATTGTGGACAACTGTCCACAGTGGACTGCAGGGTCTGCATGTTTCTGATTATGATGCTGTTAAATGGCTGAGCATGCATTGCACACGATAATAAGTAGTGACCCATTGCAAGCTGCCACCCTTCAGATGTGTACTCCCCCATCTTTCATTCATCAATGCCTTGATTGGGTAAAGCAGACAAATGAATTTTACTTACTTGCCAACTTGCTATATCACTTTGGCAATGTGGCAAGCCCACACTTTTTATTAACATAAACATAAAACAGTTCACTATTATTCATGGGTTTGAATTTTGGGGATTTGATGCTAAATGGCAGCTGTTCCACAGTTAGAGGCAAGTCCTTCATTTAAATGTAATTTTCTACCAAATAACAAAATGTGATTCCTACTAAAATAAAAAAATTTATATTTTAATCAAATTTTATATTCATAGCTTTGTGTTATGACCATTAATATGCAGGCTGCGTTGGTTAGCATTAATTTTGTCCATACTTCATAAATGCATATAACAGGATCCCTTCCTGTACAAAAGCATGCCTTACTACTTGATTTCACGGTTGGGATTTAGGATGCTCAAATAGCGAATAGTTTTCTTTATTTTCTTATTTACCAATAAAAATTTAGTGTTAGATTAAGTTGAAAAGTGTCAAAGATACCAGTGTTTTATTTTTTCCAGAGTTCCACCATACAAACACTGTTTCACCATTCTATGGGTCATGTACTAACTTTATTGTCAATGAAGGGGGTGGAAGAGTCATTGAAATTAGCTTCCATTTCATTTATCATCTTACTAGTTAGCCTTTTGTCTGCTTAACCATATCAACAGAAATTAAATCAGAATTCATTGGATTGCAAAACTTTTTGTACAATAAGTGATCACCCCCATTTTTGTCAGATGTGTATATTTTGGCCATTAAACTGTTCCATTATATAGTTTCTGCATCATAAAGCATATAGCATTTGAATGTGAACATAATGTTTAGTTTTCAGTATGTGACATGTTTGGTTGAAGCTAGTGACCCTTTGATTTTTCAGTAAAAGTTGAGGCCTTGATACAGTTATTACTTTCATCTAATTGGCATATACCTATAAACTATTTAGGGAACCATCAAAGGAATGAAAAAGTAGTAAATGTTCATTAGGTTGACATGTTTGGTTGAGCATCAGAAAGTTATGGGCATTGACTCTGAATAACTTTGACGCCTTGAGAAAATTATTATTGTCATCTAATTATCGTACATGTATGCCTTGTAAT